GTAAGCAGTTAAACAATTGGAAATGACCAGCCTGCTTTGCGCGCAGTGTTTGCCTGCGAATCGGGCCTTTCAAAACCGGAAATCGGGTGGAGCACGCGCTCGTTCTTTTGATTTGGCCAAAAAGCTCGACAAATGGCAAAATTCGCACGGTGCCCGTTTGCAAAAACAACTGCAAACTGTTCTAATTCTTTAACGCTTAATGTCTGTTCCCTCGGGAAATAGTTTTGTTTTCCCTCAAATCTCAATCAGTGGCGTAGCAAGGGTTTATAAAGTGGGGGGGGGGGGGGCAAGTTGAGCGCCAAAGGCGCGAGCACTGTACACAATATGTTATACCTTTAACTTTCCCAAGCATTATTTTTCATGGAAACTCCACAGCATGCAATGATATGATATTTCCTGAATCAATTCCTTGATTATGCAATGACTCTATGTTAACATCCAAATCTTAAATGTTCCCTCCGTGGGTTACTTTTTTTGCTACAATTTTTCGTTTGGATACGTTTAGGGATAAAACACTGCTGGTTTGAGAATATTTTAAATTAATTCCCGATCCCGGATTTAATGTTTATCTCTTTCTCATTAGGCCAGACAATGCACAATCATCTAGTGGAACAGTTGCTTCCTTCACAATATATGTAAACTACAGTGCATCTGATGTCACACCAGACATACTTGAAACAACCTTTAGCAATAGATTAAGCGAACAAACCGTCGGAAGTATCACAAAACGTATTCTCGGCACTGGTTATGTTCTAGCCACAAGCACAGATGGAATCAACTTTACTCCTTCACTGCACAATATAGTCGGTAAGAAATTTCGCTATTATAGCAGAATATTAAATTTGATAGCTTCTTTTGTTTAAGTCATCTCTCTAACATGAAAAACAAACAGAATGAAGAATTTATGACCCATATTGTTTATCTGAGAGCGCCATATATCTGTCATTCTTCGAAACCAGGTTTTATATTCCAGTCGTCTGCTTTAATGCAATACGGAATGATGTATTATGAATGAAATCAGCAATGAGCAGACGTGCTTGGAAGAGACAAAATCCATTTTGTCAATCATGATTTGTAGTACATTATTTACTAAATTATTATTAATCGTCTTTCGCCATTCAATTAACTCATTCTACGACTTGGGGAAAACGACAGTAAATGAGACATGGTTGTTTCCCTGCTATGTATGGAGTATTGTTGATATGCTTAAAATTGGCTTTTCGCGAAGCAAAATAATCAGCAATCCGCACATTTAGAAACATGTATTTGTCTTCTAATTCTGAATTATAGATTTAATACACAAGCAATATTTCTTGGTTTGGCCAAGGTTATAGGTAGTAATTATGATATATGAAACTATATAAGTGGTAGATTTTAACACAAGAACGCCATAATCAACAGTAAAACTTTATTGTCCGGCTTGACAAAAAACAAATATTTCCTGATATTTCAGTTGACATCAATGAGTGCTCTCAAAGTGTAGCACAATGTGGAGAAGGTCAAAGGTGTGAAAACTATTGTGGCACATATCGTTGTTACTGCAACAGTCCTGGAACCTATCTAGTTGATGAAAACTGTACGGGTATGCAAGATTCTATGTTTGTTTGTATAACTCAACATTTTAAAATGAAAATTAGTAGAGGCTGGACTGATTGCGCTAAACCAAGGCGTGACCAATTTAAATCTTATTTTGATGTCGGTTATTGCATGTGTGCACGTGAATCAAACCTTATTTTGTATACGAAATACCAAAAATTGCTCAGTTCCTCTACCATGCCGTTTCAGTTTTTTTTATTATACAGAATATGCTTGGACAGCCATGAACTGTATAGAGGTACGTAACTGTAATAAATTAATAACCAATGACAAGTTTATTCGATTAACCATTTCTTTATTTAGATATTCTGTCATATGAGGGTGGATTTGTCGTGACCAATCGTGAATTTAAACTTAAGTACAATGATACGAATAGCATTGAATACTTGCAATTTGCTGAGAACATAGCGACGGTTGTAAGTGTTTGGTTTCTTGTTTACCAAAACTCATATGTAATTTTAGTGTGCAGTGACAACCAATTTGCGCATAAAACGGTAGTGAAAGTGAGCAGTGATCAACTGTAAAAATATGCATGAGTGATAACACAATTTTTAATAATTAAATTAAATACGGTAAACACTCAAACAAGATTAAATAAGGTAAAACATATAGTCTTTTCCAAGATTTGCGTGCGATAAAAGCAATAAAATGCACCATTTTCAAAAATGAGAAAAAACCTGATTTGTTTAACAATGTTTTAGTTGCTGTGGATTTATTAATTACGATTTATTAATTCTCTTTCCCAGGTGAAGGAATATTACATGAAAACTCAATATGCTCATAACATAATTGGAGTTAGAGTCATTTATCTCTAGTAAGTGCCTGATATTTGGATAATTACAAAAGTATACAGGGTGTCCCAAAAAACCAAACTATTGAAATAACGTATTGTTAGAATTTGAATGTCTTAGCATTAAGTTGAACGCAAAGATGCGTAAAATATTGACAGGGTGCATATATTATAAATATTGACTTATTAACAAATTAAAATATCTTTGTAAAGCGCACAATTTTCTGCTCTTGGGAATTTAAAGCAGCTTTTTAAACAGTTTCTTTATGCATAAAATTTACTTATGTCAAGCTTTTATGCACTTGTGGGTTCGTCAGAGTGCTGAGGCATTCAAATTCTTTATTTCAACAGTTTGGTTTTTTGGGACACCCTGTAGTTTCAGAGAAGTGCGGCATTGTCATGCAGGTAAAAATTCCACCAAAGTAACCTGAGGAAAACGTTTACCCATTTTATTACTTGACAAACAATATAACGTTACAGGGAGACTCAGTTCAGGTCGTTAGGCCTGATGTGGCGTTGGATTACAAGCATGAAGGAAAGTGAGATTTGCAAATCAATAAAAAAATAATGGACCATCCCCGTTTAGAAAAGCTTGACTGCATTGCAGGGGCTACACCAAGCCCAGTTGTTAGATGGATGGTTCTTGAGATTTCGGGCTCTCCGGAAAAATGTTGAATTGCCAAACCCAAAGCGTAACTAAAAGCCCGAACCAGACGACAATTTAAGAAAAGAAAATATAAAACAAAAACCAAAAAATGATTCCAAGTTTTATTAAATTACAGATTCTAGTAAGCATTAAATGACAGTGTATGAATAATTATAATGCACGCTTTCGGGAACTAAAATCCACATACACATAAAGGAAGCTTTGTAGCCACAGTGACGTACATTCCACTAGAGAGATTTGAAGTAAAAACAAAACCAATTTCACTCTAAAAATACTGAAAATGGCAATTCAGTACACATATCAAATTCAAAATTGTCTTTCACAGTTTGTCAGTCTCCTTGTTGAAATGGGCAGTTTACTTATTGGGATGATCTTTGCTGGATTGCACTATTGTTATAATTTGTATAATATTATTATTAGGTAAAGGCTGTGTGTATCTTACAAATAGTCTATAGGACCTGTATGTGAGTTTGTATGCGATTCATTTAGCCGCAGGTAATCTCAACTGTTTTAGGGTAAAATAACCATGGCGGTCAACATGGTATATGTGCCAAAACCTGAATCCGGGGCGAAAGTCCTGAAAATGACCTCGCCCTTAAACGGCAGTGCCGACATAGCTCCAACTTCCGAAAACGAAAAGCGACAGCCTTTCTGAAGTGTTTATGGTGTTTAGAAGGGTTGCTCATAGGGGTGGTTAATGGAAGGAAAAATTTGTCTAAATATAATATTTTACAAGAAAATGACCATGCACCACCCCAGGTAAATTGCTAATTATGCATAAAATAACTAATATGCCTGGCAGAAATTAAATGTTCTTATTTCTTAAAAAAAATTATCATGGGATGAAAAACTATGCTTAATTTAATATAATTATTGTAGTTTTCATAAGGATTGTCATTGTTTTCTTTAAATATAATACATTTTATTTCACTCACCCCCCACGAAAACACGATTTTAGCCATATTTTGCCGTTTTGTTTGTTTTTTATCGCCGAGTCTCGCAAATATCATTCAGTTGTTGTACTTTTATATAATGATAAATGGTTAAAGAAGATTTCAACCAAGTTTCATCAAGTTTTGAAGCAGTGCAGTGCATTTTATCTTCGATATTGTGTCCTTCGATGTTTCGTCAAATTGCCGCCATTTTAATGGCTCGCCGCTTCTCTGCCCGATAAATGCCACTTCTTCGTTTTCATATGTATTTAGATTACAGTATCCAAGAGTACTTCATTGGAGAATAGTCCCAATCGAAAAATTGAAAACATTAGTTCCATTTGGAAGGAAAAACCCTCCCGTAAACATTTAGGTTCAAAATAAAAACAAATTATTTGAAAGTCACGCGCAATCT